AACTCTCTTTGGAGTTGAGAAATCTATATCTAACCTGAAACGATGCAAAGCAGCAGGATCTGACAGTTTTCTACCCGAAGTTTTCAAAAGTGGAGGTAGAAATTTGTTGGTCAGTGTGACGGAGATATTAGGTAGCGTATGAGAATCAGAGGTAGTGCGATCAGACTGGTTTACTTCTCTGATCATCCTTGCCTATAAGAAGGGGGGGGGGGAAATCTTCCTGTGACAACCATAAGGGAACTATTTTGACTAGTGTGATGCTCAAGATCTTAGGATCTATAGTTATCCGACCCCTAACTGCAGCTCAAGAAAACCAGGCAGGTTTCAGACAGAGCTGGAAGAGGGTGCATTGATCATATTGCTACACTCCGACGGGTTGTGGAACACAAGCATACCTACTGGCCAGTATCCGATACTTGCCATATTTCTTGACCTGAACACGCCATTTGACCCAGTCGATCGTGAGTTGTTGTGGTAGTGTCCGACTGTGAGAGGAGTACGGATAAAGTATATAACGCTCTCTACTTGAACTCACTCAGCCGTGTAAGGGCATATAGAAATTTGTCTTCAGAATTGACGACAACTAATGGTGTATTCCAGGGATGCCCGCTGTCACCATTCCTATTTAATTCGTTATAGATGTACTAATTGACGTAATCTGAGGTACGCCAGAGTTCACCTGCTCCCAGGATGAGATCTCGTTGAACTGGAGTATGCGGACGATATTGTCCTGCTAGGTGAAGACGCTGACAACATGCAAGGACTTTCGTACTCGTTTAGTGGAAATCTGAGTACTTTTAGCTTATATGCATTTTGGACCTGTCCGATGTAAGCTGAATCTCCAGGACTGGTTTCCAACTTCTCCCAGTTTAGTGATAAAGAGTAGATTGGCTGGATGCGTCGACCACTTAATTGGGGAGTTGTATCAGTACTAACAGGCTGATTCCTGATGATGTCTTAGCTCGGATACAGAAGGTCCGTTCGCCAACTTACGTCACTTGTGGGGTCGACTGGCAAGATGTTCGACTATCTATCAAAGGACAAATGTACTACGCTTCCGCCCATTCTGTCTTGTTGTACGGCTGTAAGACGTGGCCGTTGAGAGCAAAGAACATGGAGCAACTACTGAGTTTTGATTGCAGGCGTCTTCGTAGAGTTGCTCGCGTTTGGTTGATTCACCGCGTGAACAGTGTTGAGGTCAACCTAAGGGTACTGAGCAAGTCAGTTGATGAGGTTGTGAACCCTCGCCGGCTGAGATATCTTGGACATATACTGCGCATGCCAATCCCCTGCCTACCTCGACGCGCTATGTTAGAGGAAGCTGGATTGGGCTGAAAGGGTTTAGGGTGGCCAGACCAATACGTGGAATCAGTGCATGAAACCCCTGATTCTTAATCAACCATCTGGGGGAGATGTAGACTTTTTGAATGGGGTCCCCAACTCAATAGGAATCAGTGGTTAAAAACTCTTGGTGATGTGACTTAAAATCTGTCACAATGACGTAGATGCGTTCACTCTTGGCCGTCTTCGAAGCCTGACATTTTCGCTAACCTTTATCTTGAATTTACTTATTCTCTCATCCAACTTTGTCTACTTTGATATCACTTGTTCTATCTACCTGTCTTCGTATACTACTGTGAAGTGTGGTAACTTAGACTGATACACTTGTATGTGAGGTTCTATGTTGATTCTGTCTATCTGACTGTAAAAGCAGCAGCAAGCAGGTATGTAATGTTAATCAAAGCTTTCTACTCGAACGCATGCCGCCGTGTATGGGTTTCTGGTGAGTTGTTTGAAGTGACGTCAACTAGTGGTGTCAAATGTAAGACGGTCCTTCAGGACTAGTCTGCAACTCCTAGTTAAATGAAAGGGGGTTAAGCGGTTAAAATTTACCGCTTCACTTACCTGAGGATACAGAAGACCTGTTTGGCATGTGCCAGCTTGGTAATTTCTGACGCCAACTGGTTAGATACCTGACTGCTTTTTAAAGGACGATTATACTGCTCTGTAGCCCATTTTTTCCTGTCTTGCTTCTGTGCAACATCACCGTTCAAAGTAAATGTAGAGAGATTACAGGTCTTCCGACACAAAATGTTTGTAGCATTACTCACGTAAGGTTAAATCACCATGTGAGCAATATGGAGGTTAACCGAAAGGAACTGGGCAAGGAAGCCAAGTCTGTCGATGAGATTGTGAACCTTCAGTGACTGAAGTGGCTTTAACATGTGTTCGTCCTACTGAATCATCACCTGCCTAGACGCATGAAATAATGGCTAAAGTAAAATTGGGTTGGAATAAACCTCTGGGGTGGTGAGTTCAGGATATGGTGCTAGTCAGTGAAATTCTCTAATATTCGTCTGAGATGTGTATAGAGATCTGCGCTACTGGCTGGAGTCCTCAAGACAATAGGAATCAATGACAGAGTATCTTTTGTAACATGGTTAGATATTAGTCATGATGTTGTAGATGCAAACAATTCCTTATCTTCCTTGCATGCTGTTGCGAAGTGTGGCTGATTGAGTGACAAAACCGATGTAAAACCTTGAACTCACGTCCATACGCTCAAGTTGTAGCACTTCACAGCAGTATTTAAAGGATAAGAGTATACAACATAAATGATACCAAATTACATAGAGCTGTGTAAGATAATAAACAATCTAAGAATAACGGTTAGTGTGAACATTCAAGCTTTAGAAGATATCAAGGAATGAACGCATCCATGCCATTTTGATCGATTTTCAGCCATATCACCAAGAGTCCTCTAACACTGATTCCTATCGTCTGGGACACCGCAGCCAGCCAGTTTGCATCTCCCCATATGGCTCAAACCAATAGTCACACTAATTGTTAAGACTATGGGTTAACTCACCCTTCCATTCTTCACGCTCTTCATCATTATCAGAGCCAGGTGGAATAAGTCATCCAACCTCAAAAAGTTACAACAGGGTTGCGAAAATCCAATGACGTTTCCTAACCTTCCGGTGTAGGTTACCAACTGTCTTTAACGCTGTTTCTACAACAGATTTGATATCACACGACGTTTCCTCAGGATGAGCATTGCTGCCACATTCAGATTAATGCTAATCTATCCCCTCACTGAACACCTACTTGACGTTCTCATCTTCCAATCGAGCATAGACAAGTGTCACTGACGCTTGTTTTCGGTGACCAGTAAGGCACAAACATACAAGAGCCGCACTAGCGTGTGATCGGAGTCCCAACAGGTACCCGCGAACAATGGCAATCCTACACCGATCCTCTCCAGGGATGCCTTATAGCAATGTGATCTATTATGTACGTCGTCGGTTCGAAGTCAATCCACGGTTCAAAATTGGCAGACATGTGAAACAGCGTCTTTCCTTACACTTAAGGTTAGTGATAGCCAGAAAAAAGTGGTTGTCTGAAGGATGTTGCAACAGATGATAACCGTTGTCGGTTCGTTGGCATGGGATTCCATAAATGCCTCCGAAATATCTTCCCGATTAGCTCACCTCAGCTCCCTACTTGAACGTTAAAGTCACCTGCCATTATGACTACATCCGAATGGTTTGCTTTCTGCAACTAAATCGACAGCTTCTCGTAGAATTCCTCGTTTGCATCATTCGGACTGCGTAGGCGGCGACTACAAATAGGAATCGGCTACTCTCACGATCCTCCCTAGTTATTTCCTACAGACCTATTCAGTCGAACAGCAGACGAGCATCACGGCTGTTGACTGGATACCAGTCAACAAGCACACTTTCTGCCTTGCAACTTAATGCTATGCTTACACCAGTGAGTCCATGAGAGCTAGCCATTCGGTCCGTAGATACTCAAGGTGAATTTTGAAGATTCCCTGCACTTGTCAGGTGAGGTCAGTTCAATAACCACACTCAGTTTCTTTCTGTATACGTGTCTCAGAGACACAGCATGTATCCATAGTTCGAGATTCCAGAGTCCTGGTAGGTGATGCTTGCCATCCTATTTGGCATAGAGTTCGGACGTTGAAAGCTCTTTAATATTACCATGGGAGGTGAAGGCAAACGAAAGGACAGAGTTGAGGAAGATAGGTTACGTTTATGTACTACTAGATGTGTTCAGGCGGTCGACTCTTCCCGGCCGACCACATCGCGGTTTTATTAAGGTACCTGAAAGGGAAAAAGACTTGTATGACCACAGAGCCCATGGAACATCTGGTTGGGTGTCACCTACGTCCTTTTGCGGGATGTTGTTTTGCGGTTTGGTTGTTCTAACGCCTGATAGAGAAGACTAATACCACCGGCGACAGGAGACCCTTAAGCGGGAAGGAGAATGTTATTTAGGGGTCTACCTTTTTTAATTCTCCCTTCCCATTGGGAAGACAGCATTAGCGTTGCCGTGCTGGTCATCCAAGGGAAACACCTTACTGATGTCACATGGCATCGAGCTAGCAGCAGTATGACTTCGTCCTTGGTTCCCTATCATGGTGTAGTAATTTTACTATATTGGTCACTGTTTTTTCTCTGACCTTTTTGGTATAATAGGGACTCTGAGGGAACAATCTTTTCATTTAGCGTGGATTGTTGGGTCATTGGACATACAAGTCGGACCACTTTGACAAGGTACCAGCTATCGACCGGATATGAAGTATGGCACTTCTAATCGATCCACTTCTACGTTGACCTGTCTGTTTGTCTCACACTCATTATCTGAGGGATAGGAATACCGCCTGACGGCTCTCCAAGCCCCTGTTCGCACTTCTGGTTAAAAGTCAAATGCCTAAATCAACTGGCAGTTTCATGCTTTTTGAATTTTCAGGTGAATATGAATAAACGAAAACAATATAGTATGATTACTCAATTATACAACGTTAGAATTTGCAAAAATATGGGAACAGTATTATCCGACCGCCTCCCTCGTAACCTAAAGCACTTGAAGTTGGTTTTCGCTTACAAGATTTTTAAGTCACAATCTCTTTCATTTATGATAATTCCCAATCATTTCATACCTTGTACTTTTTAAAATGTATTTTACTTTATTAGAGGATTGGACAATGCTGGTAAAACAACAATTGTAAAGAAATTCAACGGTGAAGACATCAACAGTATATCACCAACTTTAGGCTTCAGTATTCAAACACTTGAGCATATGGGGTAATCATTCAAATTTACACGAATATTCTAAGTCTTTTTTAAAGTTTTAAATTAAATATTTGGGATGTTGGTGGACAAAAATCTCTTCGATCCTATTGGAGAAATTATTTCGAAACAACTGATGCATTAATATGGGTGGTGGATAGTTCAGATCGAATACGTTTAGAGGATTGTCGTGAAGAACTGTCGAAATTGTTAGTTGAAGAACGTTTGGCCGGTGCAACTTTACTTGTTTTCGCTAATAAACAAGTGAGTTCATTATGATCACATCTTTTCCCTGACAATCTTTATTACTTACTAAAGGTAAATTACTAATGTTACTGCCCGACCTATAGCTGCTCCCGTAATGTGGTAGACGGCGTTGTATATCCCAATGACCCAACAATCCACGCTAAATGAAAAGATTGTTCCCTCAGAGTCCCTATTATACCAAAAAGGTCAGAGAAAAACAGTGACCAATATAGTAAAATTACTACACTATGATAGGGAACCAAGGACGAAGTCGTACTGCTGCTAGCTCGATGCCATGTGACATCAGTAAGGTGTTTCCCTTGGATGACCAGCACGGCAACGCTAATGCTGCAAATTTTGAACCGTGGATTGACTTTGAACAGAAAACAGGTGTCAGTGACACTTGTCTATGCTCGATTGGAAGATGAGAACGTCAAGTAGGTGTTCAGTGAGGGGATAGATTAGCATTAATCTGAATGTGGCAGCAATGCTCATCCTGAGGAGACGTGGTGTGATATCAAATCTGTTGTAGAAACAGCGTTAAAGACAGTTGGTAACCTACACCGGAAGGTTAGGAAACGTCATTGGATTTTCGCAACCCTGTTGTAACTTTTTGAGGTTGGATGACTTATTCCAGCTGGCTTTGATTATGACAAAGTGCTAAAGGAATACAAGTGTAATGAGATATACTTACATATCGGTTTACTTTTATGACCACTGCAGGAGAATCATTCTGACGGCGATTGTTTTAAAAATTCGGTGTATTATTATTACTAGCATTGTTATTATTTTCGCGAATGATATACGTCTATGGGATATTTAGAGCGGTGAGACCCTATAGCCTGAAAATCCAGACACTCAGGTTTCAATTCTGGTCGTGGTTTTGTCGACCGGATATTCCCTTACATTAGCACGGTGTGAATACGCAGTTTTAGCTAACAGATTAGGAAGTTACGTTTAGCGGTTCACTACAGTCTCATCTATGTGGGTCTCCGCAGTATATCTTAATCCATAATCTTAGCCAAAGCTATCCGTTCTCCGAGCGTTGAAGTTGGGCAGTGTAGAGAGTATTCGCAGTTTTGGAATAGTTGTGACATATATCAAAGGAGAAGTTCAGCTGTGTCGTTAACTGTAGCCACACACACTTCACATTAGCATGCAGAGAACAGAAAGACTGGTATAAAAGTAGACAGAGGTGTATAGTAGAAGAAACAATTTGAAGATAGCTAGTAAAAAGAACTCAAACTTTGGAAGAGGTCAAAGGGTGAATACATCTGTGCCATCATGATCAATTTTAAGCAATTTCACCGAGAGTTTCCAATCATTGATTCCTAAGACCTCATGGACCCAAGTCAGCCAGTCTATATCCCCACACGACTCAGGTCAACCATGAGAAACTCCACCGACTGGTGTCACACCCCAGTCTGGCCATTCTGAGCCTTTTGCCGAACCAGTTGTACTTCGGTCAGCGTTGTGTCAAGGTAGACTCTGGCTAGGGATGCCAAACACGTTCAAACCACCTCAGTTTGTGAAGACTTACAACCTGAGCAACAGACTTACCTCCTTTACCTGGTACGCTTCGCCTAACGTTTACATTGCTCACACGGTAATTCCATTTAGCATAAGCAGTGTTACGAAGACATTTGTGGCCAAAAGCCTTGTAAGCACTTCATATCTTCCACTTATAACGCTCATATGTCACACTAATATAACAGGATAGAAATAACTGTAGCGCAGTACATTTGTCTTCTGATAGTTGAATATCCCTCCAGTCGGTATCAGAGATGATGCAAGTTGGTAAGTAACGATTATAAAGTGACTCGGTTTCATTTTTGTTGTACAGGTTTAAGCCCCTGTAGGAAAGTTTGGACAGTGCATAAAAATATCATTCGCATGTGGGTTGTGATACTGCCTTGATACCCAAAACGGACCAGGTGGTTGTCTTAAGCAACCACTCCTTCAGCCTTCAACTTCAAGTCTGATCTACAAGGCAGCGGAGAGACGAGGTTTCTACATTCCAGTGGGTCCCGGTGACCAAGGTGCGTTTATATGCCACTCATTCGTTCTGGATCATGGAGCCTGTATATGTCACTGGTTTGAAGTCAGGTTACTGACTCACCCTAGGCGAACCCTTCGTGTACACTGATTTGTCACTGCCGAGTAACCGACTCCATTTGGTGTAATCCTGAATGCTAATCGAATTCCTTCGATCATGTTGGATTGTAGCCGTCAAGCTAGGAGACTTACCATCACGATGCACTTTGTTAGGTGTTGGTTGGTTAAAAGAGATCATCAGGAGGCACTGGTTTACCTGAGTTACGTAGTTTGTTGGCACTCGTCAGAGCAAGGCTTATCTACAACCTTAGAGGAACTGATGTTTTCTCTGAAATTCGAACCTGCATCACAGTCACCGACGTTACTATTGAGTTATTTGAGCCGCAACTGACCTCCTGTAGGACTGGATTAGGTACACTGATCTAGTGGTGTGGGTTTTAATCCCAGAATGGACATCAATTTCCTCAAAATTGCATATATGCCTTGCAGTCTCTGAACTGCCGATCTAACCGCTCTACCAACCGAGCTACGAAATCCGGTTGCTGACTGGGGATTTGTACCGCGTAACCATCCATTTCCACTATCACATTAGATTCACTGCCCAGTTAGGCAATCATATCGCTATCCAAATCGATTTGAATGAGAGACAACGGAAGGGTAGTGTGAAACTGGTTGTGTTGGTGAGGCTACCTATCAATACTATCTTGAATAGAGAATGGTATTTTCGATAGTACAGTTAGAAGATCTGCCTTCAGCAAAACATATTATGCAGCAAAGCTTACCTTTATGGCCAAGATAAAACACGCTTCACCGTAAACCTAAACACTCCACGAGTGATTGCGTCGCATCTTATTGCGTTTACCAGTTTACGTGTGAATTTCTGTGTACAGTGACACATACATACAGAGAAGTACTCGAATGGTACAATGTAGGGTGTGGCAGGACATGTAACTATAAGTAGTTTCATAAACAAATGGAGGTGGGAAACAACTCTCTTCATCTATAAGTGAATATATGATGGAAACGGGTCATAGAATTAACGTCCGCACAGCTTTCAAATGTTTCACACGGAAAGGATGTAGGATGGAAGCGATAACCATACGCAAATTGAAACCACCTTTGTGTGCACAAAAACGCACATCACATGTAACCTGGTAAACTTTGTTTCTTGATCAAGATTAGGTTCAAAAATATGTCACTCTTTTTTGTTTTTTAGCTATCTTAGTTGTTCTCCTTGTTCTCCCAGTCATTTTTCGGTTTCATATAAATCGACTTCTCAAGTGAATAAGTGTGCGATCAGATTGTTTGAAATATGTGTTGCACAAATATAATATCACATATTATCAATGAAAATATATTAGTAAAATCCAACTAAAACAGAATAACAAATTTCTGACGTTACACGATTTCATGGAAATCACTTATTCAGAGAATAAAACCCGTACAACCAATTATCAAGTGTTTAAGTAGTAAACAGTGACAAATCATATCATATTGTACATACATGGTAATAATATGAGCATAAAATGTCATTTGAAACAGTCAGTCTACACTTCCATGAATTCGGATAGTGTAATTAGAAGACGTTGATTATGTGGAAAGCTGTGTTGTATTTGCATAGTGAACATTTCGAAGAATCTGATCACACACATACACACACATTTACTTGTTAAGATATTTTTCATATGAACACTGGAAATAGGAATGGGAAGGACAAATATGGCTTCAAAGAACTGAGTAATAATGCTATGATCGGTAGTACGACGTAACAGTCTATGAACAATACAAACCTAACACCCAAACGAATCGAATCTAACGCAAATCAGGACATCAATCAACACAACGACAATACCACCGACGCGTTAAGATAAGGAGAGAAGATCGACACTGTTGATAGAGCTTTTTACTGTGTGAATAACATCGGTGCTGAATAGATGTATTTCCAAATGACCTTGACAACACTAAATCCACATATAGGTAAGAATAGTTAACAAGCAATGAGAGTTTAGCCTTGAGAGCAGAGAGTGTGAAACAACTATGTAGGTTAAGGTTATGGGCAAAATAGTAGGCAAAAGCTATGCAAAATTAGTGGTATATAGCAAATAAGAGAGATAATTAAGCGAAAAAAGTGATAAGATTTGAAGACTAACTTGTTACTAACGATAAAATAAGCATTACTAGGGTTGAATTAGAGTAAGGAAAAACTGTTTTTGAACATACAACGTCCTATACTCTCCATGTATCGTCCACCTACACAAAAATTAGCGTAATCGTTAGCGAAAACTGTAATTCCTACTCAACTTGGACCGTTACGCAGTAATGCCTGGTCCTATGTTGATGATGATGAATTCCTACTCAAAATGGATTCTGTAGGTTTTCTTTGAAAGATGCTTTTGAACTTGTTGATTATCTTAGTGATATTAATATCGAAGATACGAGGTTGTATTCCTTTGATATCAACTCCTTATTCTATCATTTATGACTGTCTGAGATAGCCATGGTTTGGCAGACTAGTATTTATACTGAGAGATGAATGAAGATAAAATGAAAACTTGGACCGCGACGGAATTCGAACCAACGACTACTGGGTTTCTAGTCCGGTACTCTAGTGACTGAGCTACAATTTTGCATAGAAACTGTGATGGGCGTATACTTGGATTTGGTGAAGCGCTAGACATACACAAATTTACCCCCCCCCTTGCGTGTTCAAAAACAGTTTTTCCTTACTCTAATTCAACCCTAGTAATGCTTATTTTATCGTTAGTAACAAGTTAGTCTTCAAATCTTATCACTTTTTTCGCTTAATTATCTCTCTTATTTGCTATATACCACTAATTTTGCATAGCTTTTGCCTACTATTTTGCCCATAACCTTAACCTACATAGTTGTTTTCACACTCTCTGCTCTCAAGGCTAAACTCTCATTGCTTGTTAACTATTCTTACCTATATGTGGATTTAGTGTTGTCAAGGTCATTTGGAAATACATCTATTCAGCACCGATGTTGTTCACACAGTAAAAAGCTCTATCAACATTGTCGATCTTCTCTCCTTATCTTAACGCGTCGGTGGTATTGTCGTTGTGTTGATTGATGTCCTGATTTGCGTTAGATTCGATTCGTTTGGGTGTTAGGTTTGTATTGTTCATAGACTGTTATGTCGTACTACCGATCATAGCATTATTACTCAGTTCTTTGAAGCCATATTTGTCCTTCCCATTCCTATTTCCAGTGTTCATATGAAAAATATCTTAACAAGTAAATGTGTGTGTATGTGTGTGATCAGATTCTTCGAAATGTTCACTATGCAAATACAACACAGCTTTCCACATAATCAACGTCTTCTAATTACACTATCCGAATTCATGGAAGTGTAGACTGACTGTTTCAAATGACATTTTATGCTCATATTATTACCATGTATGTACAATATGATATGATTTGTCACTGTTTACTACTTAAACACTTGATAATTGGTTGTACGGGTTTTATTCTCTGAATAAGTGATTTCCATGAAATCGTGTAACGTCAGGAATTTGTTATTCTATCAATATATTTCATGGATAAACTCTTTATCCAATACTCAAATTATTCATTTCTGTCTCGTTATATTCTGATCTTGAAGTTTATATATCGCACATTGTTTAAATAAACTTCTTTCAGATATACTATCTAAATCTAGTTGTGTTCCTTTTGTTTCTTATCTTTTGAACATTTTAGGATTTGGCGGCATCTTTAAAACCATCACAAATACGTGAAGTCTTACACCTTGACGAAATAACTACACATCATTGGCTAATTCTTGGCTGTAGTGCTGTTACTGGCGAAAATTTACTGGAAGGTATCAATTGGTTAATCAAAGATGTGTCTTCTAGGATATTCTCATTTGATTGACTTTCTCTTTTGGTACATAAAGAACCTCGTTTGACGGTTTTGTTGCTCTTGAGGTTGACTGATGTTCATTGATTTCCTTCTCTATTTTCTGACTTTTAACTACAGTAATATTACAATCTCCTGTGTTACGAGGTTTCACTTATCATCCCATAATCTGACACCCGCGATGGTGCGTATGTGATTATATGAGACACCCTATGGAAATATGCTTGTGTGTATAGGTGACTGTACTGTGCTGTATTGTAAATCAGTGTATATTTGTACGTGAACTCAAATGAAAATTACCCCAGTTACTTTTATTATTATTATTATTATTATTATTATTATTACTAGTTACTGATTTCGGTAAGTTAGTCAATCAGTATCAAAGCAGGACTGACACTAATATATAACGACTTAAGTTGCCACACCTCATCATATCAGCACATCAAGCGGGAATGCATCAAGATGATGATAGGTAAAGAGGAAATCAGTCGAAATTCGTAGAAATTCAGTGTGGTGAGCAAAACGAAGATAATTTGTGAAGCATACATAGTGTTATCGAGATCGACTGGGAGTCATCTTCATTTTGGAGTATTCAACCACTGGCTTCTGAAGTCAAGTCGACATTAACCGGGAAGTCTGCATTCTCCAACAGAACTAAAACTAAGAATCGAAGACTTCACAAATCGATGGCGTGATTCAGTCTGACTACCTGTAGAAATTTTCGTCTTCAAACTACTTCACCTAACATTGTGGAATAAGGCATATGGTGATTAAACACTGCGTAAGACATGGCCAAGCCGCCTGCGTCTCTGAAGGCTCTAAGCCTCATCAGCTGACATTCCTCTCTTCCTTAAGACTCTACACATGATAGTACACTACTGACATTGTGATGCCATGACACATGACCTATCCTACAAAGGCAATGGTGGTCGAACACCCGAAGTCATTTGTTGCCCTCTTCCTCTAATGATCAAGTTTAACAGTCATATAGTAGAAGAGAGCGAACTACAATGCAGTACATTCGACCCTCAACGAGCTGTCGAATATCACGGCGGCTGCATGTATCCATGAGGAGATTTTGTCGAGCACAGACCTATTCACCAGCGCTGATCTGACTTCCAAAGTAAGTGAAGTGGTTACCATCAGTATCAACATAGGATTAAACATTACTGCGTAATTGTACAAGTTACCTCACTGCATATCAACACCTCAAGTGGGAAAGCAGTAGAAGAAGGAGGAATGAGAACATGCCGAACTCAGTATAGCGATTAAGATAAAATATGGACACATATGCCCAACTGACATCGATTCTGAGCCATAACACCTAGTGTCTTCAACCACTGGTTTCTTTTATTCCACTAACCCGAACCGGTTCACTCACATCTCATAACTTGGCTCGAACCACCAGTCAACGACTTCTTGTAGTGATGGCACGTTTTAGTCTCTAACTAACAAGAAGGTAAAATAATTCTACCCAACAGTTTATCAACTTTCAAAGCTATGTTAATTCCACTTGCAAACAGAGCCTTGTACATTCATTATTTTCAAGGATTTGCAAGATCTGTTCTAATGATACAAAAGATGAGCTACAATTTTTATGTAACATCCTGCTAGAAAACGCTTACCCACTGTAAGTACATAAGTTACCGACCTCAAAGAAAGCTTTCTGCATGAAGCTGGAAGTCTTAAGCAACAGTTTGGCTAAAGCCTTCAGAAGTCTCTTTTCAGGATCCTTTGAGGAAGGCATAACCTGAGAATCATATTGTCCGGTAAATAGTCACCTGTGGAGCAACGTATATTAGCTGTACACAACGTCAAGTCCTTATGCGTATTTTGGAATATTGTCCAGCTTAGTTATTCAGTGGACGTCTCATCGTTTACGGAGATCTGACTCCTCTTCTAGTAGTTGATTCAAGGTAATTTACAGAATGCCTCTCTACAACTTCGAAGAACTTTCGACTGGTCATTGGTGACTCGCTTCGAGAGATGATTCTCAAAGTTGTAATGAGAAGTTGTATTTGGTAGGGCCAACGAAGTCAGATATGAGGATAGATACTCAACGACAGCATTGGATGAAGGTCACTGTGTATCACTAACCGACAGAAGTAGGGAACATATACCATTGGATTCTGACCTAGTGGCCCCGTGGTAACATGCTGGTCGCGGAACCTGAACGTCCTGGATTCGGTACCTGGTGGAGTGATGGTTGCACACTGCTGAGGAGTCTCGTACTAGGGCGAGACAGGTGTCTAGTGCTCCCAGGTTTCCAATGTTTCTCAAGATGATGTCAGTCCATGAAGAATACCAACCTGAAATCGATGCATACATAGCCGAATCATTGGTAGTTCACAAGCGTAAATCAGATCTTTATGTTAGAAAGCACTACGTGCACTTATCGTTACCCTTACCATCACCAGAGTAACAATTTCTTTAGATGATAAATACGATTTTGTACTGTATCAGTAAATGAAATCGTCGGAAAAGGGAGGTTCCCTCGACGTTTGTTTTATTACTTAAATAATAGAGTTTGTTGTGCTGATATACCGCCTTGATTGGTTGTTGTCAAGGCATTTTTGTAATTCTTAGCTGTTGAGCTGTTGAAACAGTGTTTAGATACGTGTTCATCAATCTACTTTTAGGCTACAAACTAAACAATCACTACTCATTTCGTATTTGAGTAGTATTCTTCCTTTCCGAATTAAATTGGATTTACTGTCGAGCGTTTTAAAGGCTACCCTAACAACTGCTAAACTAGCCAATCAGATTTCGACACTCCTGCTAGAAAGGTAGTTTCTCAAGAATGAAAAGACTCAGTTAGTTATCTCCTCAGTTATTAAAGTAGCCTTTAATCTGATGCAATGTAGCACGGAATGTACCAAATGATGTGGATGCTTGACCATGTATCTTCAGATGAACAAGTCTGTTATTACTTATGGGATCTATTTTCCAGAAACAAAGACTCATACAACTAAACTGTTTGGATAGTAACCAATAACCTGTCCTATAGCAGTTCACTCCCGGGCCGATTATCTCAATGGTAACGTGTTCCACTGGATAGTGTGGGTTGACGTTTTTGTGTGCGTACATAGAAGGGGAGCAGAGTCACTTTCTTCCTGACTGATGAGTACCAACAAGTACGAAACCTACTTGAAGCAGGGCGCATAGCCGATTGCCTACAACTAATGGAGCTTGATAAAACTACTCAAAGAATTTTGTTTCTGATATTTCAAGAAGTTAAGTAGCAGTAGAATTCAATTTCACGTAATAGGCTGGTAAGTTTCATCCCCCCCCCCTGAGTTGGTACAGAGGAGGAAGTTTTAATGAATGATCATTGGCGGAAATTGTGCGTTATCAGCTTGCATTCTGTATACATGAGTTATATATTCCAGTGATTGATAGTCAGTCTGCGGAAAAACGTAAGACCACTCATAGGTCGGCAGCATCGAATATTTTTTTGAATGCTGCAGAAAGGCGATTCTTGAGTACTTTCGCTGTATTGTCCCCTTTGGATCCAATATTCATGAATAAGATCGTCTTAGGAACGGTAAGAACTTGTTATTTTCGTTGTTGTTGGGGCTTTATGTACTTTTGTGACCAAGTCAGGGGAATAGCTACAGTGAAGACGTACTTTTCGAAGTTATTTCAACTCTTAGTGTAATGTGTCATTTTCGCAATTACTTCTTATTCTCGTGCACAGCAAACGAATAAGGTTCTTTTTTCGGCTCACTGGTAACTAACTTTGGAAATGAGTTTATCGTCATTTCAAGCTGACTTCCTATAAAATCCCAGCTATGAGAACCTGCAGTTCTGTTCACAGACTAGCAGCCAGAGACTTCAGGAATTGGTGGTGTGTTTGTTTAGCCAACATTAACTCATTATTCACCTAAACCTATTCCAGTTGATAATAATAATAATCGCTTTATTCCAAACAATATGTGTGACAGTATGGAATTCTCAGCATATGTAATTTTTCAACAAATTCACTACCAGAACATTATTTTCAGACGAAGTGGTTATTGCATCTGCATGATTAATAACAGTATTCAAGGCAATAGTATGAAATAGCCAGCTGGCTCTGGATGGGAATCAGGTCATAATGAAGAATCAACAGAAATGCAAGCGTACTTTTGATGGTGCCAGTTCATTCAGACAGTATAAAAATCTTCAACTCAAGCTAAGCACCTAACGAAGAGAAATATGGTGTACTTTTTTGCACCAAAAAGTCCATTTCCATATAACGTAACAGTTTTTTCTCAACGTTGTTAATGACTCGAGAAACTTAGAGTTAAAAGCAGTTTAAAAATGTCCCAGAGTACATGATACGTTCAAAGGAAATATTTAAATCATTAAAACAAGTTGAAAGGAAAGTATTTGATGAAAAATGTTCGATGGATAAATTTGGTAGCCTAAGGTTCAAGAAGTCGCCAAAGGATGATATATTGTGTCCCAAGCACTTCAGTCAATGCAGACTTCCACCTTCACTAACTGATCTATCTCTGACTATGTATATATGTTGCTACTTGTAATTTCCCACTGTTGGTTGGACCGAATCGATCCGTCTCTATTGGCACATGCACTCCTGTGCAAATGCCTCGATATTCCCTGCAAATTCAGTTTGATAGTAATAATGGAAAGTGCCAAGCAGTGGAATCCCAGACGAGGAGTGGCTATCGTGACTCACTGGCCTAATGGATAACTCTTTGGCGTTTGAAGCGACCGGTCCTAAGTTCGAGTCCCACTGGGTACAACAACTCTCGCTGGAAGGCACGTATATCCAGCTAACGAGTCCTAGATAGGATGAGGCGCATCGTCACTATTAAACTGATTATTGTTCACATGATTATTCATCTATTGTTCAGTGGTACAGTCAGTCCTTAATCAGGATCCAGATATTACACTGAAGTCAGTCACAACCAACTAGAATTTTATTTCGAAGCTAAATGTCTCATATCGACCAAGAGTTGCAAAATAAATGAGTTGATTGATCTTCTTCACTTTTTACTAAGCAGTACTGG